TATCATTTTCCATTCAATTCAGCATGCTTATTTCTTTAATGTGATTCATGTCTGAGTTTCTTTTGAATCAAATTATTGTGTCTCTCTGGTGAGATGCGCCATATAACTATCTTGTTAGATCCAAATGGAATAAAAAGATTTGCACGGAGGGCAGCATCATCTCACCAGACCCGCTTCCCCCATGTTTGCCTTGTTTGGACACACTTCTGTCAGCTCCAGCATCAGTCAGGAAGCCTTCTAGTAGTGTTTAGGCTAATTTTTAGATATTGCTGTCTTGGAAAAGACAAAGAAAAATTGCTTGGCCCAGGGTCCAGAGAGAAAACAATCACTATTTCAAAAATAGTGTGCAGATTACTTGATTGACTTTTCCCAGTTTTTCCTAGTTGATTGATTTTTCCCAACATACACTTATTGGAAGAAACCAATAGCTGAGCACACTGAGTCACAGTAGTGCCTGGCATATGGGTTGTCTTACCTTACCAGAGATGCCTTGGCTCTGAAACCTCTACCACTTCAGCTTGTCTGGAGGCCAGGCATTACAGAGCACTTCTGAACAGGAACCCAACAATGCCATTCCTTTCTCTGTCATTCCTTTCTCAGCAAATACATTTTCCCACTCCCCCTTACTTCTTTGGGGTGTTAGTTGTTACCTTTTAAGCAATGCTTATATGCCTTGGACAGATACTATTTAAAAAACTGAGTTGTTCATCCTAATTAGTTCTTCATCCACATTTAGGAGAGAGAATTATTTTGATTGCTTTCAAACTCGATACAAGACCCTATGAATTGAAGTTCTGATCACTTCTGTGACTCGGGCACATGAGACGGAGATATTTCTCCATTACCGCATTCTTTTATTTTGTGTCTATCTGCAATGCACCCCTTCACCTTCTTCTGGCCAATTTGTGCTCATCCTTCAAGCAAGAGTTACCCTTGCTCTAGACTGGCTTATGGGCCTGACACTGGCCTTCCAAGTACTCTGAATATCTGCTTGGAGACAGTGGATTTTGATAAGATGTACCGCCATTGGTAGCTGGCTTCTTCCTCTGAACTGTGCGCTTCCCAGGGCAGGGAGCTTCAGTGTCATTGGCACTGAGGGTAGTACAAAGATTACATTAAAACATTCCAGAATCTACATTGACAGACACCAGAGGAAGAGGATTCTATGTCCGCATGTACACTATTTCTTGGGGTTTCCTTAGATACAAAATTTTATGGTAGCAATATTATTTCAGCAGTAATAAAATATAATTAGCACTATAGTATATATTTAAAATACTTTCTTAATTATTAACCACAGAATCAAACCTACTTATTTGTACTTTATTAATTAATTTATTGTATTAATATAGGAGCTTGAACTTGGTGTCTCACATTTATCCAGCTTGTTTGCTCATGGGTAGCACTCTTATCAATTGAGCCTTGCCTCTAGCTCTGCTCTTTTACTGGTCAATTTTCAGTTTTATTTTGTGTTGGTTCTGGGGCTTGAACTCAGGGCCAGGGTGCTCTCCCTTAGCTTCTTTGCTCAAGGCTGATACTCAAGCACTTGAACCATGCATCTACTTCCAGCTTTTTGCTGGTTAATTGGAAATTACGTCTCATGGACTTTTTTTTTTTAAAAACCTGGTCTGGCTATTAGTCTACTGAATAGCTAGGATTACAGGTATGAGCTATTGGAACTCAGCTATGGCTGTTTACTTTGGTGTGGATATCTTGAGGACTTTTCTGCCCAAGCTAGCTTCAAAGTATGATCCTGTAAATCTCATCTCCTGCATAGTTAGGATTACAGGTGAGGGCCTCCAGTGCCAGCTATTTCCAGGTTACCTTTTGATTATATATGATACATGGTAAGAAAAATTGTGTAGTTCTAGAGATGTGGCAAAATGTACTGACACATTTCCATACAGTGAGAGACTCACTCTGCTTAGATTGTTATATACAACAGATGGCAGAGATGGGCTGAAACCTGAACATAGTAGAGTTTCTCTACAAAGAACATTCTGTAAATTTCTCTTAGATCTCATTGTAAGTACATTTTCCTCCACTAGCTGACATTTTAAATGAATCATCACTATATGCTAGATAGAATTTTAGCATTAATGACGTATTACATGATTTAATCCCTACAACAACCTTGTAAGGTTGATACTGCCATGACTCTACTTTAGAGATAAAGAAATTGAGAGTTGGGGAGTTTAGGTGACTTGCCCAAGGCTTACAGAAAGGACACATGTTCCACAGCTTGACTGAAAGAGACAGAAAATCTACCTGAACTTTAAAAACATAACCATTTGAAAGATTCCTAGATTCTCCCAGGACAAAAACTACCTGTGATAAGAGAAACAGCAAGAATAATTGCTGAACAGGACTCTTCCTTCATTAAACTGGGAATTTCCTCAAGCTTGGCTATGGTCACACAGCTAAGGAACGAATCTTATATAATTCAATGATAAGACAAAGGTGATAGATAAGGGTTTCAGTTCTCATTGTATAGGTTGTATAGATTCAACTCTTCCTCCCTTGATAATTGCTCCCAAACACACTGGAATGCCCTGGAAGGGCAGCATGGCAGACAGGGCAGAGGTATTAAAAAGTGACAGAATTTTCTAACAGGATGTTCCATTCGTATTCTTCCCATTGATCCTTCCCATTTTTTTCTGCTTCATTTTCTAAAATATAGTATTTGCACCTTTTCCTCCACATCTTCTTTCTCCATATAACTAACACAACATTTTTTAAATTTTGTGTTGGTTCTGGGGCTTGACCTCAGGGACTGAGTACTCAACCTTTTCTTTCAAGGCTGGCAAACTACTACTTGAGCCATACCTCCCCTTCTGACTTTTTGGTGGTTAATTGAAGATCAGAGTGTCACAGACTTTCTTCTCTATGCTGGCTTAGAACCATGTTCCACTTAGCATCCTGAGTATTAGGATTATAAGAATGAACTACTGGCACCTGGCTATTACATTTTATTTTAGTAAATAACTCTTCTTCTTTCTTTTCCCATACCAGGCTTTTAACTCAGTGCCTTTTGTTTGCTTGACTCAAGCACTTGAGCCACTCCTTCACTCCTGACTTTTACTGGTTAATTGATGATAATCTCATGGACTTTTCTGTCTGGGCTTACTTTGAACTTCAGTTCTCTAGATCTCAATCTCCTGAGTAGCTAGAATTACTGATGGGGGCTACTAGCACCTGACAAAGTTAAAACCAATCTTAATGAATTGTCAATCATAATATGCTTAAAATGATTATAAGATACTTCCGTTTGTAGAAATAAATCAAAAGTATCCAGGAGATCCAAGTGGGAAATGATTTTTTGCATATTTTCAAATATGCATTGCTTATAGTTTGTTATAGAAATAGCAAGGTAGGTATTTTTAAATAGTCCATGAAAAATTGGACTCAGCTAATTTTTGAATTATTATTTGAGCCTATAACTAATCTTTTTGACATTAACATCTTTAATAAACATGTGAGCAATATCTGCATTCAGAATATTGGATAGAACTAAGACATCATCTCTATTCATTAAGCTTCTATTTTCTCAATAACCTAATTTTGTCTTTCATAAGATATTAATGCTTTTGAAGTCTTACTCTTAATCTCATTAATTCCTAAACTACCCTTTAAAAGTGCATGAGGCAATATGCAAAGGCAGTCAATTTCACTGAATTATACATTGAATTGGCAAAGGTAAATCCAAGAATTCTGAGGTTGCTAAAATGTAGAACTTCATTTGAAAAATATTTTCTGAACTGAAATCACCCTCGAGGGACATGGTTTGGATTAGTTTCCTTGGCTTCGTAGTCTTCTCAAATGAGCTCACTGGCCACATACCAGAATTTGCACATGAACTGAGCAAGATGTATCTGTCTATGTCGTACTCTTAATATGTGGCAGTGCCTTGGCCAACATTAGCCTCATGTGCAGTGAAGTCTTTGATAATGAGGACTGGGACGAGAGCCCAACCCAGAGCAGGTGGCATCTAAGGTGGGACTTGAAGCATTGTGAGGGTACCCACAAGAGGTAAAAGAGCAGAGTTTGAAGCTCACAGGCTCGAAGTGGAGCTAGGAACCAGTATTAAAAGTACTGTAATTTTAGACAAGATATTTCTGAATTGTAAGTTAATTATGTAAACATGAACCAAAAACATACTGTGAGGTTTAAAAAGCCACTGTCAAGGCTACAGGAGTGGCTCAAGTAGTAGAACATCAGACATGAGCTCAGTGACATGCTCTGAAACCTGAGTGGAAGGCCCTGAGTTCAATCTCTGGAACCAGAATAAAAAAAGCTACATGTCTACATAGCTTGATTTCTATCTTGAGTTATCATACTGTTTCACCTTCAGCAATAACTATAAGCTAATTTTAATAACATAAAAAATCTAACCTTCCTACACTGCCTTCTGGACACCCATGCACACCCTCACGCAATGTTGTGCTTATCTGAGTCAGACTCCTTCAAGTCAATGAGTTTCCTTCAGTCTGAGTGACCTTCCAACAAAACTGACTAATGGCAGAGGCTGTGAAAGGGGTGGGCCCTGCAGTTTATATTTAGTTGGAGACTATCATGTTCCCAGAAATGTCTTGACAGCTGACCACAGGAGAGCCCAGGAGAGTGGCGCGCTGTCTAGGATGGCAGGACAATAGCGGCTGGCAGGGCCATGATAAGAGCCAGCCCCTGCCTTCTAATCTTTACCACATGACATCAATGGCTGTTCTAAAATTGCTTTAATTGGGCATTTTCTTCCTGAGATGTCTACAAAATGAGGGACTAGCATTGTAGTTAATTAGAGGGAAAGCCAACGAAGGTGAGCAACAGGGAGAGAAGAGAGCCTGGTAGGTAGGCTCTATGCTCGTTTTAGTGAATGCCTTGGTACTAAGTCTCACCAGCAGCTGGAACCGGGTTCATCAACGAGCCACCAGCTCTCCTCTGGCATCTCCCGGTACCTGTGGCTTGCTGCGTGTGTAAAAGCCCAGTGCCTGGGGCGTGCTCACCTCATATTCCTCCTTGAAGCCATAGCCCTCAGCACACTTCATCTGTGTGATGTGTTGTAGGAGGTCTGCCACGCGGATGGCAGGATGAAGCTGCCCAGTCTGGTAGGGTACATCTGTCGTCTCACGTTTCTTGTAAGTGTGGGACTGCACCAGGCTGCTGGTCTCACTGGCCATCGTGTGGGTCTCGTCTAGGAAAAGAAAGCCAGGGAGAAAATGAGGGCAAACCAGTGGGCCAGACTGGGTCACAGAAAACTAAACAGCTGCCTGAAACATTCTTCAATCTATGTCTGCACAATCCCAAGGGTGGCTCCGCCAAGAAAGAAAAGTTCTACATTTGGAACTCTAAATGGGGTTGGCAATACTGAGAGGAATGAGGCAGAAATCTCTGCTTTTACAAAGCAGTCCAAACCATCTATTGTTTTGCAAAGCTCAATGATAAAAGCCTTTTAGCCTTTTGCTGCTAAAGTTGGTAGAAGTTTCCATCTGAAACTTCATCAAGACCTGGTTCAGAACCAGGCTTGGAGACTTCCAAATATTTGTTCCCTTGTTTGTGTGATGAAGGAAATAAACTCAGTATGAATGTTCTGTGAGCAAATCAAAAGTGCACAGAATGGGTTGGCTTAGGAAGCTAGCAATGGGAATGGGGACTGGATACACAAAATCAAAGAAGTAGGGGGGAAGGGAACCTGGTTTGGAGGAAAAGGTTTTGATGAGTCACTTTGCATGCTTGGGATCAGAAAGCTTGACAAAATACTGTGGACCAACACATCACACATGGAATGTTCTACTACAGCAAACATGCAGGCCAGCTCAGGGCAATACGCTGGCTCCACCAGAAGAGTCTACAGGTGAGACACACATTCCCACTCCCTCCAAAACTGCTCCATGGGGCAAAGTGGGAAACTTACCATTTATTGGCACTTTTAAGAAGGTACATATCAGGAGAAAAGAGGAGGAGAAAAAGGAAACAGGGCATAAGCAATAATACTGTGTGAATAGTTACAGGTATTTTTAAAAAAATTTGTGATTTCATTTTTTTTCAAAAAGTTTCTATTCAGAGGAGATCAGAGGGCAAAGCCTCAATGTCTCTCATCATCTTAGGATGGAGATATTAGATTTAAGTACTCAATGACAAGGAGGTTAAGGTTAATATCATACTTGCTTTTCATTCCCCATGAACCGAGTAATGACTAAATAAAGCTTATTTGTATTCAACACATTTTCTCATTCAAATTTCTTGGACAACTCAACCAAATTGTGGTAGAAAATTAAATGTCAGAATTTGGTCAAATACGCCTAAAGAGGCTGTATTTTAATGGATGACAATGTGTAAATTAGATTAATGAACTGTAGAAATGGTAGATATTTAAAAAATGTCTGTGGCAGGAAAGTGCTATTTGATTAAGAATTTCATATTCGACAGGTTAAATTCACTACAATGCTGAATCCCTTTAGTTCTTTTATGATTGAGGGTGGCTTTCATCAAAATATAATGCTGAAATCAGCTAAAAGAAGCATATGCTATCCAAATTAATCTTACATATAAAAATTAAAATATTAGAAATAGCGTGTCCAATGTTGGCAAATTACCAGATGATATATCAAGAAGGAATTCAGCTAGAGTTATTTTTGATTTTTTTTAAAACTTTTGTACTCAGAGGTTCAGCTCCAAAGAAAATTTAGCCTTAGGATGCTTGGTGAGCTGGGCTTGTCCCGGACCCTCACTTCTGTCTGCATTGCAAAGCCCCTGGGGATGCATGGTATGAAAGGTGGCACACAGGTGTGTAGCTATGTTGCTGTTGCTGAAATGGCACCTGGATCACTACAAGGCGGCTAAAGACACAAAGACAAAATAAAAGAGGGTGGTAAGTTGACTTTATGATTTTTTTCATATGGATTTGCTTTGAAATTTAAATGTATGTTCCCATTTTAATAGTCACAAAGACACCTGAAAATTTTGAACACTAGATGTACTGTTTGGCAAGTGCCAAGTTCTAGCAACTGATATACAGGAGCTGTACTAAAGTACTAAAATTGACTGGGCTTTTGATTCCTCCAGCAGGAAGTTCTGTTCTTTATACTAAAATAAATGGAACATTAATTAGTTTCCCCTCTGTGCCTCTCTTATTCTCTTAAGTGTTATATCTTGTGGGAGGAACATAATTAATTTGTCCTTCATTCTGGGCTAGACTTCTAAACTTTACCTAGGTGATATAGGCCTTTCAAGTGGATTCATCAGCAACCTGGTAACACTCTGATCCCAGGCCTTAGGTGTTTCTGAAGTTTCAAATCTACAGGGCTACAGCTGCAGTCACTGCTCTATACAACTTTCTGCACTGAATCATGACACACTGGCCTCCTTTCCACTCAACCACTACAAGTCCACCCAGAAAGAGAATGTTCTTAGCTAGTATGAACATACTAGATTTCTTTTAGGAAACTAGGTTACCTCTTGGACCAGAAATTTGTGACTCCTTAGTTGGTTGCTGGTAGTTTATTCCTCTGATCCTTGCTATTCAGGAGAAGGAAATCTGGAGGACTAAGGTTCAAGGCTAGGCCAGGCCAGACAAAAAGTCCACTAGTTTTCCATCTCCAAAATAAGCAGCATAGGGCTGGGAAAGTGGCTCAGTGGTAGAGTGCTTACTTTGCATGCATAAGGCTCTGGGTGCGACTCTTCAGCACCACATAAACAGAAAAAGCCGGAAGTGGTGCTGTGGCTCAAGTGGTAGAGTACTAGCCTTGAGCTGAAGAACTGTGGGACAGTGCCCAGGCCCAGAGTTCAAGCCCCATGACCGACCAAAAAAAAACAAAGAAAAAAGCAGCATAAAGCTGAACTGGAAGTGGTACAATGCCAACCAAGAAAGCATGTGGCCCTGAGTTCAAATACCAGTATAAACAAACAAACAAAAAGAAAAAAAGAAACAAATTCCTGACTACACTAAATGGGTAATTCATAAGTTTCCTCTGACTTCTTAATAAGGGTATATTGTTAACAAACCATATCACTTGTTATACATCTCCTACGTGTGTTTAAAAATTACCCACTAATATCTTAAACTAAAAATAATGCCTTAGAAGAGGTAAAAAGAAACAAAATGTCTTAATAACAGTTGGATAATTTTCTTAGAACTGAAAATTAATTCTATGCTCTATATTCATGAATGTATTATTTTGAAATTTTTAAGAAATCAGTTGAAAAATATTGAATTGGAACTATTTTTGTGATGGGAGAGGATCTATCTATCTATGCATCAATCATCTATCTACCTATTATCTACTTTATATATCTAATCTAGCCACCCAAGCAATCTGTCAGTCAAGCAATCAATCTATTTAGCTTTGCAAGAAAATGAGGTAAAGACATAATTACACTCTATGTGAGGGCTGGACATCTTGGCAAGTGAGAACAAAAGGCTAAGGTACTAGACAATTTAGTGGTGCTCAACTCTAATTTGAAACAAAACGTTTCTTCTTGTCTCAATGTAAATTGTACATAAGACTATCCTTCTAAATACTAGAATAAGCATATGTATTATCTTCTTTGCATGGTTTCAATAATCTTAGTATTCTTATTAAGCAACATATACATTTCCATTAGCAGCATTAATGGGTGTGAATATTCCTAAGTAGTACTATTGGTACCTACATTAACCATGCATGAGAATACTGATTTGTACATTTGGATGACTAATTTTTCATGTAGTGTATCATTTTTGTGACTTGAATTGTCTGTTCAAGTGTCTCAGAAAAGAAGACAAACCAACTTTAAACGATGCCATTAGTGTTTATAATAACAAGCAGCAGTTTTAGAAAAAAATGATATTTGTTTAATAAGCTTTTCTCAATCCTGCTGTGAAATCTGAACATGTTCTTCGTCTGACAATGTGACTCTCAGGCCCCCCTGCTCTTTGCTCTCCCAGCAAGAGCGCATCTACAGAGAAACCTGGGAAAGAATGCCACAGCATACACAGAAAATCACAACCTCCTATCCATCAATTCTGTGAATGCCATTTGCATGTAGATATAATGTTCAGGCTCCTGTGTTCCTCATTTGTGAAAAAAAAATAAAAAGATTTCTCCTTAAACTTGGCATTTAAAAAATATGTGTGTGTGTGTGTGTGTGTGTGTGTGTGTGTGTGTGTGTGTGTGTGTGTATGCAAGTGCACATGCATGCTTTAGGAGGCTTTATTAGTCCTCAAAATAAGAGCCCCCCAATTTGGGTTTTATTCTTAAACTTTGTCATAGTTCATTTCCCCCCTCCTCAGGCAACAAACTTGCTTCCACCCAGACAACATCATAAGGGAAATAAAAAATTAGCTCCTACTCAGAAATCATAACAAGTGAGAGAAAAGAGAAACACAGTGGAGGGATTGTGCTGTGAGGACATAAGCCCTGGCAAAGAGAATTAGGAAGAGGAAGTTGAACGATTGAGGATGGAGCTCTTGCTATAATGAATTGTTATATACCTGGAAGTCCTTTTTGTTGTGCTCCTTTCCGGGAAGGTTAGTAGTAGAAAGAGAACACAGCCAGGACACACTTGGGTTACTTATGCGTCTCAAATGCAACAGCAGCTCATGCTCGTTTGCTTATCAGTCAGGTAATGCCATTTCTCCTCACCCTTCTTACACTGCACAAGCGGGAGGGTTTGTTTCCCTGTTACCCCCTGCTGAAAATATTTCATACTTTAAATGCATTCTGCCCCACTGGGCTAACATCTTAGTTCATTTCTAGTGACATCTGACACATAATAAACCACAGGATGACAAAGTGCCATCGTGTCATTCTGCGATTCAGAACATCAGCTCTGCTAACATTCTGCTGTGTGACAGACACTGGGGGGATGCTGGGGGTTGCCCTGGGCGGATGGGTAGGGGGCCTAAACTCTATTGTGATTGCTGCTCTGTATAACAGTGGGCATCATTACAAAAATGCTGTTTTAGAAATTGGCATTTTTAGTGCTTAGCAATAAGTGAAAATAATGAGAAGCTATTTTCACTTTTATGACTATCACATTGGACAGAATTTAGCTTTTGGAAGTACACACACAGCTGAGTGATGACATGTCATTTTTCTTCCCCTGGGATCGGAACTGACATCAAACCCTGAATATAGACAAGAACACTATTGGAGCTGCAACTGTTCCCTTGTGTCTTTTGATACCATCCCTACATACATGCAGCCAACCCTTCTTATCAATGGAAACTGCTCAGAGAAAGTCTTTTTGTCATCTCCCCCTCCCCATGCTCAAGTTTCCTCTCCCCTCCCAAGTCCCCCTTCTAATCACTGCATCATGCAGAATTAGAACTGCAGCCTCCTGAGAATAGTCCCTGACTATCTCAATCACTTTTGCAATTAACTGTGGTAAAGTGAAATGTTCTCACCTAAAATTGCAGTTGGCACAAATGGGTCTGTCATACATCGTAAGCAGGGCAGTGCAGAGAAAGTGAAAAAAGAGAAAGAACAGTAAATGATTGATGAAAGGCCCCATCAATTTCCCCCATGAAAGCCAGAGGAAGCCCTGGCTCACAACTTACGGAACAAAGTAAGCCCCTAGAGCATGAGGTAGCACAAGGTGCTGGCAGTTCTGACTGCCAAAGGGTAGCAAAGAGAAGATAAAATGGAGAACTCTGTTACCTGGGTAGTAGGAATTAGGCACCGACGTGCTCAGTGTGTTAGTTTTCATTGTAAATGATGATGGTGAAGACACAGCTGTAAATAAAAGAAAAGGCTGGTCAAAGGCTGTAGAGAGGTTTGAGATCCTACATTACCCACACTGCTCTATGCGATGCCAACTGTTTGAATAAAGCAAATTCTGACATTCACTGAAGTCTACATGGCAAAGACCTTCATCCCCAGCTGACTCTAGGTAGCTATTTGCCCTTTTAGAGGACAACATACGTATATCACTTAAAGACTTGTCTTACCCTGAAAGGAAAAAAAAAAACAAAAACAGAGCAACACACTGGTGCTGATGGCTCATGCCTGTATTCCGACTCAGGAGATTGAGGTCTCAGGATCACGGTGCAAAGCCAGCTTGGGCAGGAAAGTCTGTGGGACTCAGGTCCATTAACTACCAGAGAAAACTGGAAGTGTTACTGTGGCTCAAAGTGGTAGAGCGTTAATCTTGAGCAAAAGAGCTCAGAGATAGTGTGCAGGCCCTGAGTTCAAGTCCCACAACTGACAAAAAAAAACAAAAGCAAAAACAAAAACCACCATCAACAAAACAAAATAGAGCGACAACAACAACAAAAACCCCACAACCACAGTCACTACTTTGACAAAATCAACAGACTTCTGTTTGGCTTCTAGCCCTTTCTTATATAATTCTGCTATCACAGTGAGTTGAAGTATACAAATCAAAGTATTGAAAGGAGTCTTCATAGCTTCTTAAGAATAGTGAGAGCCGGGTGCCAGTGGCTCACGCCTGTAATCCTAGCTACTCAGGAGGCTGAGATCTGAGGATCGTGGTTCGAAGCCAGACCAGGAAAGAAAGTCCGTGACACTCATCTCCAATTAACCACCAGAAATCTGGAAGTGGCACTGTGGCTCAAGTGGCAGTGTGCTTGCCTTGAGCTGAAGTGCTCAGGGACAGCGCCCAGGCCCAGAGTTCAAGCCCCATGACTGACACACACAAAAAAAAAAAGACAAAAAAAAAAAAAGAATAGTGAGAATGTTGGGCACACTTGTAATCCTAGCTACTCAGGAGGCTGAGATCTGAGGATTGCAGTGAGAATCTTATCTCCAATTAACTACCAAAAATCCAGAAGTGGAGATGTGGTAGAATGCTAGCCTGGGGTAGCAAATGGTATAGCATTAGCCTTGGGCAAACTAAGAGACAGTTTCCAAAGCCTGAGTTTAAGTTCTAGTCCTGGCACAATGAGAAAAAGAAAGAAAGAAAGAAAGAAAAAGAATGGAACCTTCCTCATATCTTGGAAATACACAGAGCTCTCCATACTGCTATGATCTGGATTAGGAAAAATAAAGGCTGTGTGTCCTCTATCGAATGTTTCCCATATTGCTCTTTTTTTAAAAAAGTGCTTATATTTCTTCTAAATATTCCTCTATTAACTCAGCACCATCATATGTCTCTTTCCCCTAATAAGGAAAGTCTATTCCAAGGAATTAGATGGTTCTATTAGAAGCAAGTATTTCTTTTTTATGTACTTCTTATTTTTAAGGTAGCATGTCATCTCTTTTCAGTATCTTTAATTGATTTTCTATAGAAACACTTCTCTGAGGGCTCAAGATAGTTAAACACTGTGACCATATTCCTGGTTTATGCTTACATGATCTGATGCCAAGTTCCCATCATATTACTAATACACAATGATATTGCTGTATTTATAGGAACATTCTGAATCCTATGGATATTGCATGTTGTAATTATTCTGATGGCATGCTAACATGCTTTAGCTTGAAGAACAGTACCTGTAGGACAATGCATTGTCTGTGTGTAGGTGTTTTAAAAATAAAATTAGTACACAAGAGAACCAGGGGCTCAGGCTGCCTGCCATTCTATGTGATGCTTTTTCAAAAATACAGAAGGGTCACATTAGTGATGCATGGTGGTGGCAAGCTACCAGAACCAGAGAGCAATTGATGAAAATAAGAACTAAAATACTTTGCACTTGTAAACTCTGCTAGGTCACATGAGACTAATCCTGCTTTATTACTTGAGGGTATTTTTATGTGGTTGGTAAACATGTGCAAGCCAAATACAAAATAGTTATATTTATTTTCACCTTTCTGTTAAAGTATTTAAAAATGCATTTGTTTCTCAGTGTACAAATTAAACCCATTCCTACTGCCAAGATGCTATGTTCCCATTTTTATAGCATATTAAAGTAGAAGACACTACTCCTATTTGCTTTGGTGGGGAGATTACTCCCAACTGTCATAAATGTGTTCCTGCTTAATTTAAAATTTTCCAGGATCCCTTTTCTCACTGTGTCATTTCTAAAAGCAGCCCACCTAACAGTTTCTAGCTCTTTCTTACAGCCCTAAAGGATCTCACATGTGTGCAACTTACCATAGGGGTGGGGCTACTAGGGATCTAATGAACATACTTCCTGAGAATTTTCATCCCATTGATAGAGTATTATGAAAAAGCTTAAGTGTCCAGGGCACTGCTGACATTAGATGAGATGCATAAGACCTACTCATTGTAGACAGACTGGGAGAAAATGGAAAGGCACTTATTATGCTTTTGTTGCAGGCTGTATTGGATGTGAGAATCAAACAATGTCAAACTGCCAAATAGCAGATCAGCTACACAGGCTCATGTATGCTAGATTTTTGTAGAAGTCCTTTGTATGTCAAGAGTTTTGCCTTTCCATAGATACACTTTAAAGAAGTAGCTGCCAAATTAAACTTCCAATCCAGAGACACACATCCTCGGGCTCAAACTTCAAATGCCTCAAAACTACTGATGTACATCCCTGATCTAAGGGTGGTTCATTTTGAGTACATTTATGAGGTGAACTACCATGAAACAGAAAGTTTGGAACTCAGTGGGTTATGTTAAAAGCAACAGCATGTATTTTTCTGAACTCTTCCCTCCTTTACTTTCCCTTCCCTCTCCCTGTTTACTTTTCTCCTTCTTCTCCTTCTTTCCTTTCTTATTCCCTCTCTTCTTCCTATCCTGCAAAAATTTCTAACTCTGTTCTTCCTCTCAGCAAAAATCCTAACCCTGTACTTACCTAAAAGGATTTTTGAGCCCTAGTCTAAAACAAATGCAGAAGAGTGCTTTATTTTGGTACTATATATGGATTTTTAAGTGAAAAATAAAACATTTGCTACAAAAAAGTAGTGAGAATCCTATGAAAAACTGGGAGTAGCTTGTGTAAAGCTGAGAAACCATAGCTTCATACCAACATTGAAAGAGCATAGAAAGACAGAGAATAGAAGCCAAGGAGGAAAATCAAGAGTGCTGTTTTCTCAAGGCATCAGAACAGCATCTGAAGTTTGCAAGTCCACTGGGTTGAGTGTACATGAACACATAAATGTGGCAGGAAATGGAAAAATGAGTATAGCCACTATAAATGACAAAATGAAGGCCTAACTTCTCTGAAGCCACGCAGAGTGTAGAAGACAAGCAAGGCTCATGAGCAGGCACCATGTATTTATTGACCATGACATGATCAGAGAAATGGCTGGAAGAGCAGCACCATCCACAGGGCCTGAGCAGGGCACTGGTACACATTGGCTACATGGTTCTCAGATGTCCCCTCAGACCTTACCCTTGAAGTCATAGATGTCTCACTGCACCCAGTTCTTCCATGCATTATTTGGCCCTACATATGGAACACTTTGGCTCCATCCCCTTGCTGACTAATGTCTTGATCATGTGGTCAGTATCCGGTTGTAGGCACAAATTTAACACACCAGGGATAGAGAAAACTCTAACGCTTAACTTCATGAGTGTGTGCCATGAAATACAATAGCAGACATAACCATGGGATCCCCCTCAGAATTGCACCAGGAACAAAGCAATGGTTGTTTTGTACATCACATAATCAACTTAATTGTTAGTTTCCTAAAATAAAGCCCTGTACCTGGATCATAGGTGGTAGCACATGAAGGTATTAGCTGAGCTCTGTGTGCAGGTTAAGATTTGTGAAATAGAAATACACTTTAATTTATTGTCACTAAGACCCCTATAATAAAAAGGCAAAACATGCCAGCTAAACAAATAAACAATTACCTTGTTTCTACCATTGAGTGAAGTGTTTGTAACAGGCTTCCCTGGTGTAGTTCCACACCTGGCTTGTTCATGTGTGTGATCTAAGCAAAAAAAAGTGATGATGTGAAGCAGCTACCTTCCTTCTCGGCCTGTCTGTCACTACACACTATGCACTTTACCATGGTTTCCTGTGCTCTCTGACCTGATCCTAGCACCTTCAGAACAGCATCTCTGCTAACCAACCCATGTGCATCAGGTTTTCAGGATCATTTAAAGAGACCAGCGAAAGCAATATGGCCTAACAACTCCTTAGGAATGTTTTATTGTTGTTTTTCATCTCCCAGTATGACCTGGAATCTCAGAGAGCCAGAGTTGTAGGAAAAATCATGCAAAGTGTGTACTTACATCTCCCATTGAGATTGTGTGTGTCCATGAATGAAAAGGCTTCGTCACAGTTGGTGCCTTGCTCGGCATAGCTCTTGTCCATGGAATTCACCATCACTGTCATTTCCTGCCGTGTGCTGCTCATTGTTTCCTTCCGCTTCTTGGCCAGTTTCCTTAGGACAAAGAATTCAATTATATAGATGTGCATGGGAACAGAAAAGGAAGCAGTGGCATGCGTAATGGCCACTATTCACGAATAACAACTGAATTAATCACTTGTGAATTTATTTGTGTATCTTCTATATGTCAGAGACTCTGCTAGACTACATACATAAGAATGAAAAACATCCATTGCCTTCTCCAAAAATCCACAATGTAAAACAGTGTCTTTCCCTACACAAATTAAAATAATGACCTTTAATACATCCATCTGTTTATTGATAGTCTTCTAGACTTAATAGCTTTTTACTGGATTATTGTCTATATTGCCACATGGAATAGCAAAAAGAAGATTCTAGTAAATGTTGAGCAGGCAAAATGAAAATAGAAAATTTTGACTTATGTTTGGGGTCAAAATATCATGTGCTGGACATGCACTGAATACACTCAAGCTGTACATCCCAGCTAGAATGTTTCCTCTCTAGGAACTCCTCAGGGTGCCCTTCTTCCCTAAGGAAATAAAAAAAAGGACAAAAACAGCAATTCCAGCCTTTGCATACTGCTCAGTAAAAGATAGAAACTCACAATCCAACACTATGTTACTTATATGAAAGCCATAATAATCTAAAGTATATTAATATAATAAGCAGATAAAACACACATAAAACACAGAAGGTGGTTTTATGTATCCAAGCTAGACAAGAATAGGGTTTGAGAAGCTCAAGGAAAAAGGATACAGTGGGAGGGCTTAAGTTCATGGCACTATTACACCATAAAGACTACATACAATAATATTCAGGATCTGCCCAAGCACCTACTAGTCATGTCCAAAGAAATAAAAGCAGCTATTTCTATTAAATCATTTTGACACTGATTGACACTGAATGAGCTGTATAATCAACACTGCATCCAAATCAGGTGATCACTAATACATTGAAAGGTACTGCATTGTAAGACCATATAGATAATCTTTATTATCCTTTCCAATGGATACATAATCCAAATGTTTTCCTGCCTGTAGTTATACGCATCTTTTAATTTCATACTTTGAAGGCACAAGAGTTTCCTTGATATATTACCCTTTTAGTTGCAAAACATTGGTAGGAAAAGAAAATACATTTTCAAACAGATGAGTAAAAATCACCTACAATGTCTCTGGTAGTGTACAACTTTAAAAGATTGGGAAAGATCAGTCAACCCATGGTTGCTGTGGGCACCGGCCACCCTCCCTCACATATGAAGACATGGCGGCTTTTCCCACAGGTTCCCCATTCTTCAGTCAGCTATGCCAGTGTTGGAGCCAGAGACTGGGTCTGGATAGTCTCAGCAGGCGTTCTGGGCAAAGGCTCCAGAACAAGCCCCAGATCCACAGCTGTGTTCCTAAGAATACATTTTCTCTCCACTTCTAACTGCCTGTTCCTGGAACAACACTCTCAAGCCAGGTCTCTCCAGGAGCCCTGAAGTGGAAGACTGAGATAATTACCTCCATAATTCAGGCAAAATGCTCACTTTCTGCTTGAGTTTCTTTGATTTGCTTTGGACTGATGGATGTAGGTAATTGCTTCAGTATTCTTTTTCTTCTTGTTATTCTGCCTATGGAGCCACAGTCAAGTTTATTAGACATTCCCCTGCCTTTTATTCCTTATTTTCTCTATTTCTGAAGGTGAGGAAACAACAGATTATTTTGCAACAAATTCTTGCACTAGTGTTGGCAGGGCAGGAAGGGGTGTTGCAAGATAAGGGGCATATATGCCCCCAATAAAACCTATGCTTGAACTGAAAAAACATTTATCCATTTAAATCTTTTTTTTTGGGGGGGGGGTCCGGTCGTGGGGCCTGAACTCTGGGCCTGGGCGCTGTCCCTCAGCTCTTCAGCTCAAGGCTAGCACTCTACCACTTGAGCCCACAGCACCACTTCCGGCTTTTTTCTTTTTGCTTATGTGGTGCTGAGGAATCGAACCCAGGGCCTCATGCATGCAAGGCAAGCACTCTACCACTGAGCCACCTTCCCAGCCCCTCCATTTAAATCTTCAATATGCAAATTTCAGTGATGTCACATTAAACACTTCATTGCTGATCTTTAATCATAAAGGAACCTGGGTAAGTATTCATGGGTACATGATCAAATTAAACAGAGGTCAAGTCAGACCTGCCACCTTGAGCTCATATCCTTTAAGCCCCCTCCCCTTAAAAACTCAGCAGCATAGTCAACATATGGAATCAGCCTAGATACTCCTCAGTGATGAGTAGATCAAGAAAATGTGGTAAATATACAAAATGGAATTCTATGCTTCCATCAGAAAGAATGATATCACCCCATTCATTGGAAAATGGAAAGACATGGAAAAAATTATACTATTATATCAAAGTAAGACAGGCCCAAAGAAACATAGGTTGCATATTTTCCCTTATTTGTAAAAACTGGAATATGACTGGACGCCAATGGCTCATGCCTGTAATCCTAGCTACTCAGGAGGCTGAGATCTGAGGATCGCGGTTCAAAGCCAGCCCGGGCAGGAAAGTCCGTGAGACTCTTATATCCAATAAACCACTCGAAAACTGGAAGTGGTGCTGTGGCTCAAGTGGTAGAGCACTCACCTTGAGCTGAAGAACTGAGGGACAGTGCTCAGGCCCAGAGTTCAAGCCCCACGACCGACAAAAAATAAATAAATGAATAACCCCCCCAAAAAACTGGACTGTGCCTGTAAAGCTACAAATAAACGCAATGGATAATAAAAGACGAATAATTACACCTTGGCATGATTAATTAATCAGCAGTCTAAACATTCACACAGTGAGAACAAAGGAGGATATTTTTTGGAGAAGATTGTAAGGGCTCAAAAACTATGTGCATAAGATTATATAAAATTATACTTATTGAAATGACTTCCAAGAAATTGAAGGTTTTTTTTACACTGTTTATGGTGGTCTTCCTCCTTCTCCTCCTCTCCTCTTCTTCCTCCTTTTCCTTCTCTTTCTCCTTCTTCTTCCCCTTTTTCTTTGTTTCATTCCCTCCCATCATTGTTTTTGTTTTTTGTTTTTGCATTGTCTACAGAGTTTTTATTTTCATTTTTATTTTTAGGCATTTTTTTGTTGTAAAAATGCCATACAGAGGGGAAAACTGTTTTTGATTTCTGTATCCTTTGTCTTGTATATAAGTTTATCTGATTTGGGGAGGGGAAGGGGAAGCGCAGAAACAGTGGGACAAAGAGTGAACCAATTCAGTAGTGAAACCCATTAGACACTATGTTGGAAATGAACTATAACAACTTTGAGGGGAGGGAAGTTAGGGAGGGAAAAACTGGGAGAGAATGAGGAAGGGGACACTGTTCAAAAGGAAATGTACTCATCCCGTGACTCTTGTAACTATAACCCCTCTGTATATCACCTTGACAACAAAAAAAAAGCTCTCAATGCCTTCAGCAATTATTCTTGCATTAATTCCACCCTTCAACCACATTTTCCTCCCATCAGATGTCCCAAATACAAATGCCTTGCAGTGCTAGCCATGACATGTGGGGGAAGGACAATGAGGAGTGGGAGACACTGGAGAAACTGAGGGAAATAGCAAGTTAACGCCAGCAGGTAGACACCCCAGGCAGACCTCATTCATGCCCAGTTTTAAGAAAAATCAGGAATCCACATTTTACATCAACTTAATTTTTAAGTATTGTTAAATAACTGAAATTAAAAAACCAAACACTGTAGGGCTCACATAAAACATACTAGTTGGTACACTTACTTTCCATGAATAAGAGATAAGAAACTTAATTGTATTGGAGCAGAGACTAACACATTGCACAAGACCACTGCATGCCAGTACTCTGATCATATTATCTTTAATCTGAGCAACTATGTAAGAATTATTCTCCCTTCTCATTTTTCAGATGAGGAAATTAAGTTTCAGAGACATTAAAAAATGTGGAATTGAGATGACTTGGACCTTTACCATTCTAAAGATCATACAACAAAGTGATTTCTCTTGTAAAGTATTCCATCAATTTACATTTCCTTACAATTACATTATTACCTAATTATGTTACTTCAAAACTAAATACTATGTGTTGAGAAAAAGTTAGATTGAATTACTAGAGCCTGGCCAAGGAATTACACATTCATATAGTATCTAAGATTGAATTAGTCATCATCACATTAAAGCATTAGTAAACTGAGTTGATTAACAACTACTCATGTGTTCAAAGTAGTTTTGCACCATTAGGGAGGGTAAGTCATTGTTTGGACTCTCATTTGTTCTTTATTTTATTTTATTGTAAAGGTAATATAGAGGGGGATTACAGTTACATAAGCAAGGTAATCAGTATATTTCTTATTGAACAGGGTTACCTCCTCCCTCATTTTCTCCCACTTCCCCCGCTTTCCTCCCTCCAGAAGTTGTAAAGCTCATTTCCAACATAATGTCTTATTACTACTGCTGTTGCATTGGTTCACCCTTTGTCCTTTGTCTCACCATTTCCGTGCTTCCCCTTCCCTTCCCCAAATCAGGTAAACATATATGACAAAGGATACCAGAATAAAAAACAAACAAACATGACAACAGGATAAACCAAAGGGAAAAAAAAGGAAAAGAAAAAAAGGCACAACTGAACACAGTACACCAAACAAAACAAAACAAAACTCATTTCCATATCTTGGAGTTCATTTTGATTACCATCATTTTATATGGTAATATGTATCCAGAATGACATCACTCATTCAGAAGGAAATAGAAAGTAAAATAAGCCAGACTTAAAGAAACATAGGCTCCATAGTTTCCCCTCATTTGTAATTATATATATATCTAGGATATTCTTTTTTATCTAGGATATTCTTAACAGAGGATCACAATAGCTCAATAGCTATGTATATATGACCATATAAAATGATGCTAATCGACCTCATTTATTCTTAGATAAAACAAATATCCTTCTCCATGATTGCAGATGGTTGAAAAAGGTTATATTAAGAACTGAGGCTTGGTTATGACTATAGGTAAACTGGAATTTATTTTTTTTTT